ATTGAGAAAGAAGGGAAATATTAGAAGAAGAGCAGATTGCATGTAAGAAATAAAGGCTGGCAGGACTTAAGAGAGTTTAAGTAGATGAAGGAATGTGGTTTAGACAGCGGTGAGAAACTGGTCTCAGCTTCATGCTTCCAGATTATACAGGAAGAAACTAGGTTAATCTTAAAAGGGACTTCTTTCCAGTGAAGACTGGGACATGCTATTTTTATCAACCTGTAGAGTAACATCCCTTCTCCTTGTTGACCCAAGCTATTCCAGTAATTTAGTGGGTGGGTGGCATCCTTATCTAGAATCCCTATGAACAATACCTGTGCCTGTGCAACACCCAACCAAACACTACCTCCTTTGCTCTTCCCAGTAAGCCTAGCAATAGGCAGAGTACCTCTCTTTAGAAATTAGGACACAGGGGAAGTAGCTTACACAGGATCACAGTAAACAGGCTCTGATCTGCTCACTTTCCAGTAAGCATTGTGAACACAAGGTTCAGGTGCTCCTGGAGCCAACAGAGAGGAAGGGCTGTGAACTGAGTGGTATTCTGAGGATCTCCTCCCTTGAGACCAGTTTCTTGTATTCTGCCTTAATATCCCTTCCCTCTTCTGTGACTGTTTGTACTGACTTGATCCTTCTTAAATTTGAATGGCAAAACAGAGCCATGATAATGCTCAATAACTATTTGTCTAAGATACTTTTCTACTCAAATTATATAGCAAAAAGGACTAATGTCTAGATACATTCCCCATGACCAACCCATGGCTGACCTTCAGTGGTCGGATCTCAGCCTAAATGCCATTTACTGAGAGAGGTCTTTCCTGACCACTCTAGGTAGCTCCCTTCCGGTAAGGAAAAATGAAGCCCAAGATGGCTGCACTATGGTTCAGGCTGTGGATGGCGAATGATTTCCGGTGGACATTAAATCCAGGTCAGCAAGACTTCACCACAGGCATACCTTGTTGGTCTCAAGTGTGAATAACTGATGTAACCAAGGCTCATGCTGGCCAGGGTAAGTAACTTATGTAACCAAGCTTGTTACTGGCACATAGCCACTATTGTGTGGACCCCTAGATAGAGCTAGACTGGCACAAAGGACAGGAGCCTAAGAGATGCCATGCAAGTGCACGCAGCTGGGTGGTACCTGAGAATAAAGATGCCTAATCCAGTCCACAGATCTTTCTTCTTTGGACTGCGCAAATCTCAAGTGAACCTCCCCAGTCTGAACTCCTGACAAGACACTATCCCATCCCCATTTAGTATTACATCATATTGTTTATATCTTTGGCCCCCTGCTTACAATGAAACCACTCCAATAATGTGCTAATTTAACTCTTCCCTAGAATTTAGGCTCACAGAGGGAGGCACTTTGTCCACTCTGATCACCCCTGGGATTTAAAATGGCAGCACAGGCCTAAATAGCAGTCCTTAAGGGGGTCCTCCTCAGGGGGATCTCCCTGCTCCTCCCTACCACTGGCCTCCTCAGTCCTTCAGCTAAAAGCCTGAAACACCCAACGGCTGAGGGGAGAGCAGCATGTCAGTGGGACAGTTCTTGGCATTCTTGATGACTGCTACTATAGCTGTATTACTGTATTTGTAGAGAAGCTATACCAAGATACTCTCCCTCACATTTTGTTCGACAACAGCACCAAGTGTTATTGTCCCCATGATTGGTATTAGCTGCTCAAAACCTAATACAAATACTCTAAGCCAGATAGAAAAAAGATTCAGATCCTAACACTGGCAAACTGAGTCTCCATTTCCTCACGTGGAAAGAGAATACCACCCATCTACCTCATGGGATTATAGAATATAAAAAACAGAAGGGCCCTTAACACAACTCCAGATCTGAGAGCTCACTTACTTCCAGACAGCTGTCTTATCTTTTATAATCCCTAGACAGAGCCTCAGTACCTAATTAATTATTTGCTAAATTTTAAGAGACAAAAGGTCAACATACAGTAAGTAGCAGAACTGGTCCTTAAATCAACACTTGGAGATTATGCAAAGGGCTTTCTGCAACACCAGGCTGCCTCTCTGGTGGTTTGAAAATACTCCTTTATCCCATGCAAAGAAGTCTTAGAGGAACATGGGCCTACCTGTAAATTCAGTGTAAACACAAAATACTTTTTGTCTGATCCTCCATAACCTTCATCCCACTTGTTTTACTCCCTAAGATCCTTGTTCAAGGAAGTTTTCCTCCCACAAAAGAAACCCGTATTTTATATGTTCAAAGTGTTTAAATTAACTGTAGTTTTAAAGTCATTGAGCACTCAGATTTTAGTCCAGAGTCACAACCCACCAACAAAGACAGAAGAGCAGCAGGACCATGCCGTTTGTACACAAGCTCCCAGCTGCTGGTAACTGAGCAGTGTCCCTTGCTGAGCATCCAAAACGAGGGCACAGGCCTCCTCCACCACCCCAAGTATTTTCCAACCATCATAACAAAAGTATTTTAAAACTCAAGATGAAAGAATGTTATCAAAGTGACCAAAGGTATAGGCTGCTAAGAGAAGAAAACAGGAGAGATGGTTTCCATGCGATAAGGGACAAGAAGTGTGTGGGCGGGAAGGGCCTAGGGCTGGGCTTCTCACCACTGCAAAGAATGTCAGGGAGCAGACAAAATACAGTGGTTGTGGTAAATCACTTCCGGCCTCACTAGAGCACAGAAAATAAAAATAAACCACCCCATGTAAGTGTTGAGCTGGAGGCAGCAGGAAATGCTAGGATAGACCTCCACCTACTACTGCAGTACTCAAACCCAGGTACAGCAACACACTTCAGCTGAAAAACACCGAAGAACAGGAAACCTAACTGCAGGGAGGGGAGTAACAGTTCTTCAAACTTGAAGGAACAGCCCCTCAGCTAATTCTGTGCATAAGGAGAACCACTGAGCCAGTCAATTGAGGCCTAACAAATTAGTCACCTACAATAACCCTTTAACTAAATGTAAACTCAAAATTCCAAAAGCAGTCAGCAGGTTTTTGTCCTGTTGCAAATGGTGACAACACACCAAAGATGAATTTCCCACGGATGGTGACAGGTTTGGATAAATCTCAATCTCAAAGACAATGGCTAATTTGATATTTGGGGATTTAGTATCCGTCCCATGTCCCTCAAGATCACTGTGAGAAATTTAAATGTGTATATTAAAGGCTTTGAAAATTGTGATGTCTTTCCTGATAAAGTGATTCTCTTTCCCAGTGTTTAACTCATTTGTTTTGAAATTCAAATGCTTTTATTTGAAATACCTAGCCAATCAAGAATAAATGTAATCCCCTGCTAAAGCTATATGACATCTGTACATAAGTTTCAAAGCAAATTAAACTACTCAGTCATAATCTTAGTGAACATATCCCAGTTAAGCTATGGCCCACAAACCCACAGCCATTTTTGATGAGTTATACTGAGAACAAAAGAAAGTTTACCAACTCGTATCTAGGCCCTTCTCAGACTCAGGTGGACTAGTTAGGTAGGGAGCTAGTAAAGAACAGGAGTCCAAGCACTTTATCCAGTTCACAAGTAACTGCAAAATACCCCAAAAACTAAAAACCACTGTAGACTAGTGCTTCTGAAACTTTTCATGTGCACGTGAATCACCTGAGGACTTTGTTAAAATAAAGATTCTGTTTCTGTAGTTCTGGGGTGAGGACAGGGTGTCTCCTATACAAATAAGCTATGTGATGTTAATACTGCTCATCAGTGTCCACATGTTGAGTAGCAGGAATCCATGGCTTTGCTTCTCCATTTGGCTGCACAATGGAATCACCTGGGCAGTTCAACTATAGCTCCCACCCCAAAGATTTAATTGGTCTGGTACGACTCAGGCATTAGAATTGTTTTTTAGTTCCTCAGGTTATGCTAATATACAGCCAAGCTAGAGAACCTTTGAGCATAGCTCAGTAGTCAGCTATGTACAAATAGCACACCTCTCAACATAGCTTGTCTCCCATACATGGCAATTCTACAGCATATATGACGGAAACAGGGTTGCTCATATGTTACACACAAATAAATATGCCTTGACTTTGGCCAACAGACCTATGTTCTACCTAAGCTCCCTCCATACTCCAGTACTGGGGCTAGGTAATTTCTCTGCCATAGAGCTACATTCCTTAGCCTTTTTAAAATAAAAAGTCATAGTCTGAGACACCACATTGGCCAGGCTGGCTTCAAACATGAGATTCTCCTGCCTCAGCCTCCAGATAGATGGGATTACAGGAGCAAGTCATCATACCTGGTCCCACCCAACCTTTGTCATGAACTCTGATCTTAAAAGACTGTTAAAAATATGAACTTGAATTCTTCATTTATCCAATGAGGATTGAAACCTCTGAAATAACTGCAAGAATAAAACTTTTCTGAAGATGCTTTGGAGAATTTCATGTCCTACGCATCAGCATACACACAATCCCCACTTTTTGCAGTTTACACTGCCTACAAGACACATATTTTACTTTTTACCACTAAAACATGCTGAAACAAATGTAAACGTGAAAGCACGCAGTCCAATTCCTATCCTAGGACTTACTGATGCAATTGCAGGCAGGCACTGTCAGAAGAGTGGGACCCCTGAAACAGCTGAAGGATTAGTAAAGGATTTCCTGCTCCAGGAAAGGACAAAGGCCTGCCAACTCCTAGGGCAGTGATGGCGAAACTTTTAGAGATGAGTGCCCAAACTGCAACCCCAAACCCTTATTTTCACAAAGTCCAACACTGCAACTAAACCTGAACAGAGGCTTTAGTTTAGAAAAAAGCAGCTCATACATTAACATCTCTTGTCTTAAAAGAAAAACAAACACACGTGCCACAGGTTTTCCACTACTGTTCTAGGGTCTCAGCACTGTTTTGTCATTAACTTCAAATACACATAAGAAAAACAAAGATCTAGGTCCATTGCTGTAAGTTACCAACTCATAAATAGTTTATTTTATTAGTACACCAGACTGAAGGGAAAAAAGATTTCAACACCAATAAAAAAATAAAAACAAAGCCAGAGGCATGGGAAGAGTGGCATGAAATTCTTTAATTTGGAGGGTAAAAGGTAACACTTAAAGAAAGGCAAAGGTCGTGTGAACAAATGTTCATCGCAAAGCTGGTCTGCCACAGACGGAGGAAACTTTTCTGGGACCCCCAGCTGCACACCAAAGCAGGGTCGGTAGTGAGTACAAATCTGAAACATCCATGTGTCCAACAAACTGCCATCTCAACAAATCGTATCCAGGGAACATCAAGAGGTGAACCTAAAAAAATTTTTAAAAAATAGAAAGGTAAAATGTTTTATGATACTGCAGACAGGAAAGGAACCTAAATCCTTTGATCTAAATTCTAAACTCCCAAAACAGTTATGAGATTCCTAAATTTGGGACAGTATTTAAGCCAGACTAGAACAACATCCACAAGGAGGTAAATACTATTCACAAAATATTTTAATTGGAGTATTATCTATAAAAATAATGTTCAAGGCAGGCACAGTGGTGCACATCTGTAATCCCAGAACTCTGGGAGGCGGAGGCAGGAAGATGGTGATTTTGAGCCTAGCCTGGGTAAATCAGCAAATTAGTGAGATCCTGTCTCAAAATGAAAAATAAATAAAGCAGTTGGGATGCAGCTCAGTGTGAAGGCCCTGTGCTCAAGCCCCAGTACAATGATGATGATGACTCAGATGATGATCATAATGTTCAAAAATGAATTCTGAGCCCACCGAGGCAAACTAACCAGGAACTGAGAAACCTGAGTTCTAACTCCAGGTCTATCATCAGCTATCAGTATGACTACAGAAGTCACTCTGACTCCCTGGTCTACCAACTCTTTGAGGTGAAGGGGTTGCAGTTTTGCCTAAAGAACTTTTCTAGATCCAGAATGCTTATAAAGCAGTGATTTCAAATTTGGGGGAGGAAGGATTCAAGAAACAAAGTAAAGAAAAATTCTCAATCTCAGATATAATGAAAGGCCAAAAGAATAAAGGAAGGGGGCAACAGAAGAAAAAAAAACAGATATTATTGGTTGGGGCTTTTGGTTTTTTGTTGTTGTTTTTGTGGTACTAGGGATCAAACCAAGGGCCCCTATGCATTCTACCCAAGCACTCAGCTACATTCACATACCTTTTTTTCCTCCTCAGCTGACCTCAAACTTGGGATCCTTCTGCCTCAGTCTCCTACGTAACTGGGATTATAGGCAAGCACCACTGCACCCAGCTTAATTTAGTTTTCACTGAAAGATTAGTTTTGATAAGAAGGTGCAAAATAACCCCAAGAGAAGTGATACATCGTTGCTAGAGCCATATGAAACTAGAATCTGTAAAATGTGAGGTAGTTCATTCCCAATATGATACAGGCTTCCTTTTGAGTCCCTCGGAATGAGCTTCCCACCTAGAGGACTGCGCTGTGGCCCTGGAGCACCCACGTTTCCCACTAGAAGCAGCCAACTTTCCCACAGTCTGTCATAAACACGCTGTAATCTTCCATGTATGCCATGACTTGAAAAAGGTTGGGAAACACTACCTTTCAGAAGAACTAGGCTACCTATCCCAGGTGGTAAAAGGCACCAACTTACTTGTGTACTGGTTCAAGTGACCTAGAGATTCTAGCATCAGACTTTAAAGGAAAGACTTTAAACTTCTAACCATAATGTTTTTTTAACTAACACGGGCATTTAAAGAAATGCTACACAACAGCAGAACATTCTTGTATCAATGGAATTGTGAAAAATGTATAAAAGAGCAAAGTCATTGAGCAAAAAGTGTTCATAGTGCTAAACAAGAATAAGCAGGCCTATTAAAACTCGTCTCTTTTATCAAGTTTGTTAAAGCAAACACTCTGCCAATAGACTATGGACCAATATAGCATCAGTTCTAACAGCCATCAGTTCTAATGGTAGGAGGGGCTATTACAGTGAACAAAGCTTTGACACATTCAGAATTAGAAATCCTAGTTTGGGGCAGGGAATTTAGCTCAGTGGTTTTGCCGCCTGCTGCACAAGCGCAAGGACCCGAGTTCGATCCTCAGTACCAAAAAAAAAAAGAAATCCCAGTTTGATACAGAAGTCAATTTCAAGATTTTATGATCTTAAAACATTTTAAAAATTTAAGATGTTGAAACCAATCCATATGAAAGGCAAAACAGACTCATGAGAATAAGAATTTAAATAGTGGTTTTCAGATAATCCTAATTTCAAAGATCTGCTGCTCCCTTCTTTTAAGGCAAAGATATATTTCCCAGACACTATTCCAAAAGCAGAGGTCCTAGAATTCTTTGATGTATTAGTTCAACAAAGTGGAAAAAAACAGTTAAAAGAATGGTTTTGACTGTTAACCAGGGGATAAAAATTTTGGGAAAGTGACTAATAAAATCTCCTCCCCTGATATAGACATAGAAAATATACGACACCTACTGAGAAAAGATAAAAGGACTTCTGCAGTCTATTTCACCCATGCAGAAAAGACAGTACCATTTGATCAGTCTGTTCTAATCATAAAAGAAAGCAAGGCACAACTGAAAGAACTGTAAAAAATAATTATTCTTTGTATAGATAGAAATTATAATGCCAGGCAGGGTTATTTCTATTTGGAATATGTATTCTTCTCCCACACCATCTTTATTCAAACACTAGCACTGGGCAGATACGATCAAATGCTGATTTCCCTTCTAATCTATCTCATTGGATCCTGGACACCCAATTAAAACAGAAATTGAAGGTAATATGAATCAAAGACTATTCTGCAAAATTTCCAAGTTCAGAGCTCAGTGTGTATCACTGCAATTTTAGAAGGTGCAGGTCATATATTTCTAAAAATGAAAGGATCAGCCAGGCATGGTGGTGCATGCCTGTTATCCTCAGCACTGGGGAGGCTGAGGCAGGAGGATCACTGCAGAGTTCTAGGCCAGCCTGGGCTACATAGTGAGTTGAAGGCTGGCTTGCACTACAAAGTGAGAGCCTGTGTCAATAAATAAATAAATAAATAAATAAATATTTTTAAAAATGAAAGGAGCTTCAGCAATCAGCTACATTAATCATCCCGTTTTAGAGATGAGAAAATTGCAGGCTGATTGACAAATGTACTGTCCAGCCAGCAATATACTGTCCAATACAATAGCCACAAGCCACAGCTGACTATTTAGTTAAAATGAAATGAATTGAAAAATGCAATTCCTGAGTCTCTCAGCCACATTTCAAATGTTCAATAGCCACATGTGGCTAGTGGTTACCTCACTGGGCAATGCAGACCCAGAACATCTCCACACTACAGAAGACGGGGTCCTGGGTCACCCTCACCAGATAAAGTCAAGTCTCCTGATCTTCATTATCCTGCATTTCTCTTGCACATGTTAAGGATACCCAACTTGGCAGAAACATTTGAGTCAGCCTATGAATCTCTCCTAAATTATCTCCATTTTTTTAAAAAGCAAGTTTAATACTTTTAATAAAACCCTCTAATTGGAAGATGTATATGTTCATCATGCAGAAGTCCTTGAACATAATAGAGAGCAAGAAATATCAAAGTTTGGAGTCCAAATCTCCATTATTAAGTTCCCAGGCAGTCTCTTATTAGTTCAGGGCCTGGATAAGTCAACTTACAGTTCATCAAGGTTCAATTACTTCTACTGTAAAATAGGAATACTACTATTTATCTATCTTCACAGGGTGAATGGTAAAAAAATCACATACTTTCAACGTAGGTAAAATAAATGTGGAAGGTAAGTGAACCCTACAAGCTCGATAATGTTGTAACTGCTGGAAACAGGCGCAGGGTCTCAGGACACTCCAACCTTCTGTGCACTTTGTCCCTAGCTCAATACCGCCCACATCTGGCCAGGATGTAAAGCAACCCCTGACTCAATGTTTAAACTTACTTGAACCTCTGCTGCCCTCCTATGACTGGAAAGAAACTAGGTTTTACCACAAAGATCAGTGGTTTTTTTCCCCAAACAAGTTCTCTTTTGCCTGGTAGTACATTCTCTCAGCAAAGGAAATGTACAACCCACCAGGTGGCAGTACAGCTTAAATAATAACATTAAGATTATTTTCCTGAGGAAATTCTCTAGATTACTAACTATATTTTTGATAAAAATTCAAAAAGCCAACACAATTGCATATTTGGAAATAGTACTGCCTGTCACAGTTAAAATGTTCTGCCCAACCGGTAGCCTCCTAGTTCAAGCTAGGACTGAACACTGAACTTTGTTTTTGTTTCGTTTGAGACAGGTTCTCCTTGTGTAGTTCAGGCTGGTCTTGAACTCACTATGTAGTCCAGGCTGGCCTCCAGATTCATGGGGATCCTCCTGCCTCACCCTCCTAAGTGCTGGAACTATAGGTGTGCACCACTATGCCAGGCTTGAACACTGAATTTTAAGGACTGGTCCATTATAAAAACAAAACACTTCAGCATGGATGGTTTGTCCCTCTGTGTCCTGGCTCATCTTCCCTCTGACACAGGGCTCAGGTATCAGGAACTTTGATTTCCAACTATGACCCAGTATAGCTCTGTCCCCCTTTTCCTCACATCCCTTTAGAAATCTGAGATAGATTGACGCTTGAAAAGAATTTCAAAGAAACACATAAAAACAAACAGTAAATAATTTCAGAATGCATATATATTTTTAATACTTGAATCTACTGAGCTGTGGCATCACACATTCTTTCAAAAGTTTACTGCCACCTAAGTGCCAAAACTGATCATCATTTCAAGTATGCATGGATTCTTAGGCCTCAGAGGTATACTAGGAATGTTTTTACTTTATATTTTCTTTTTTTTTTTGGTACCGGGAATCTAACTCAGGTCCTTGTGCTTGTATAGCAGGCAGCAAAACCACTGAGCTAAATCCCCGGCCCCTATATTTTCATTTTTATGATAATCTAAAAAATACTTAAGTCTATTCTTGACCACCTGGATAGCTCCCTGTAACCAGTATTGCCAACAGATAGAACAGTTAACCTTTATTACAGGGTTTATCAAACTGCTATCTTTGGATATGTTTTCAGAAGACTACAAAGTTTCAAATTTGGAAAAGGTTATAATAATAGATCTGCATATTACACTAGTCCTGGCTGAACAAAACTGCCATGAAATTCAAATCTTACAGGAAAGTAAGACTAGACAGGGATTCAAAGGCAACTTCAGCTGACTCTATGTTTAATTTGTTCAAAATCTGTCAATTCCAGGTAATAAATATAGGGGTATTTGTTGTTGTTACCTAAAAATAAAGGACAGTGATAAAACACCTGAGGTATCTTTTTAAATGCACTTCCTTAACTCTGCAATTGGCAAATGTTATACATACAGTAAACAACTTTGAGCAAAAACAGGGTATGGCGCCGGGGATTTAGCTCAGTGGTTTCGCCTCCTGCTAAGCAAGCACAAGGACCCGAGCTTGATCCCCGGTACCAAAAAAAAAAAAATAGGGTATGAACATAGTTTTTTTGAAGCCAGAATGGATGAGGAGATTAGTTACATGATTTCTAGCAAAATTCTCCTAACCTCAGTTCCTGGCCAGTGAGAATAGCAAACCTGGGTTTTTTTGTTGTTTTTTTGGGGGGGGGGGGGTTATAGCAAGCCTGTTTTTATGAAGCTAATTTGAGACAAGGCCTTGCTGTGTAGTACAGGCTGGCTCTGAATTCACTATATAGCCCAGGCTGGCCTCAGACTCATGGAGATCCTCCTGCCTCAGCCTCCTGAGCAATGGGATTATAGGCGTGTGCCACCACACTTATAGTCTATATGAAATGAGATACAGAACAAGAATCACTTAAAAGCATGATACACCATGAACACTCAATATATATTAACTTTCTTGCTTCTAAGCTGGGCATGGTGGGGCATGCCTATAATCCTAGCAGTCAGGAGACTGAGGCAGGAGGATCAATGCGAGTTTGGGGCCAGCATGGGCTACAGTGAAACTCTGTCTCAAAAAACTTCCTTACTTCCTCTATATTTATTTTTTAACTAAATACCGTTTTCTTCTGATCTGCCTTTTCCAGAATAGGCCCTGGTTTTAAATGTCACCCTCAAATTCACACAAGACCAGTTACACTACAGATGTTTATTTTTTTATATCCAACATTCAGTTGGAAAATATGGAGAATATTCAATCTGTTTTATTCTATCTTCTGAGTTGGTATAAATATTATTGTGAATTCACCGGGAAACTATTTCTAACACGTTTTGGCACACTACATATGGTTGAGTTAAAACCACATAAAAGGGACAAATAAATGTATATTTAATAAACTAAGAGCACGACAGGGTAGTATATGTCAAATGAAGAAAAACACTCTGGGCAGTCCCCAAGAGAGTATTTTTCTATAAACATACTGCTTTCTATGGGATGATTTAACACTGCAATCTGGGACTGGAAGATTTTGTTGTTCCTTGGGCCCATAATTCCCAGCTGAACAGGTGGTTCTAGGATATTAATATGGTCTGCAGTACAGTTTCTGCTGAGGCTGCTTTTTTTTGTCTGTTTTTGTCATAACTTTGAAATACTAAAGTCTCTGCAGCAGAGTCCTTCTCCAATCATGATGATCGTAGGAAATAACTTTCCATGATTTGGTATCTCTCTGAGGTTAAAGAATATCCTTGAAATGTTTGCTCTATCCCCTTCCTAAGTATACACCATGACTCACCTAGAAAAAAAGAACTTCAGAAATGTAGAGAAAGGCAATCAGAAGACTTACAGCCTTTCCAGTAGTCTCTATCAGAGAGGCCAAGAGCTATACTATTTGCAAGAATAAGAAAGTCAACGTTGGAGGGTCAGTTTTCTACCTGCACTCAAGGTTATCTATTGGAACAGTTAACTAGTACTTGGTAAGAGCTGTCATCCACTGGCCACACAACTCAGCTACTGCCCAGCTCCCAGACAATACAGTCCCTCCCTCCTCTGTTTCCAAAAGCGCGTAGTTCAGATCTCTGGTGAGGCTCTGACCACACTGTATTTTAATTGTTATGTTTACATGTCTTCTCCCCTACTAGACTGTCCACTTTTAAAGGCAGGAGCCACATTTTACTTTTCTTTGTATTCCCAGGGACAAGTAATTCCCAGTAACTGCCAAAAAGGAGGGACAGGGAAAGGAAAATTCAAGTCTTAACCAGACTCCAAAGAGTTAAACTATATTAGGATAACGGAATGAGGTAGTTCACTCAAATTTTTTCAGTGAAATAAACCATCTCTGCCAACTTACTACTACTAAAAATGAAATCTTAGCTGAACAGAAATGTTCTCGAGATAGTATCAAAGGAAAGGATTTTATGTAACTTTATAACTGATTAATTCATGCCAGAAAATGAAGTTCAGTCACTGTCACTACAGCACTTTGCACATGGTTGCTCTAACTCCTGTGTTAGACTTCTGTGGATTAATGAAAAATTATAGCCTTAAACACAGTGACAGGAAGAGGTTGGTCCTGGGATATTCTTCCCTCAAATAGAATGTTATTTTGGAAGGTTCTCTTTTCTCTACCACCTGGTAATGCTAAATTTTGTAGTGCAAAGGCAAAGAAAAGGGTGCATGCATTCATTATTAAGCTGTATGAGCACTAGGCCGAGAATACCACTGACAAAGACACTACTTCTGCAACCACGTAACTCTGCCGCTGGGAAAGGCTACTGGATTGTTCTGGGTCTGTTTTCTCATATATAAAGCAATAGTACTGCCATAGTTTGGAAAACACCCACATACTTATTAAAGCTATAGGATTCCACTTGGGAGGGAAGGATGAAGAAGAGGGCATACCACAATGGAGGCCAAGCAGACAGGACCTTTCAATTTCTGCCAATCAAAACAGCTCTAGCTCTACTTCTTTTTATTTGTTTTGTTTTGTTTTTTAGCCAGAATTATATATAAGAATTTGTTTGGGAAAAAAAAATAGCTTCACTGCTAGCCAAAGTAAAACAGCAAATGAACCAAAGGGCACCATACCTTATGTTTTAAAATCTCCCAAGTTAATCCAACTTCCCCATTAATTTCAGTGTAGGACACAATTAGCAAATGGTCACACTCATTCATTCAACCTATACTGTATGCTGCTCAGACATAAGTGCTATACTAGGTACTATGAGGACAATGACTCAGCATTTAAAGTCATCTGAGATTAAAATCAGAAAGAAGTTTAAGAGCAAATCCAAAGGCAAAACTTACAATTTATGTTCTTCAAAAATTTGAGTTGTTTTCACAGTTATTGATGCAGAAATTAATGTATTAATTACAAACACTTATTTTCAGTTATTGCAACATTTCCAAAACAGTTAAGAAGACAACGACCAGGGGCCGGGGATTTAACTTGCCTGCCTCGCAAGCACAAAGACCAGAGTTCAATCCCTGGTACCAAAAAAAAAGAAGAAGACAATGAACAACAGCAGTAGCACTGATGAATTATAATATTGATGCATACTTTGAAGAGCACTGGAAAATTCTGCAAGTGTTTTAGTAGTTAATATGGGAATCCTGCTAACCTTGATCAAAACTAGCCCCATCTAATTTCTCTTCCTAAAATCAACATAATAGGACAAGGACTATGACCATCACTTACATTTTTCCAGTCTTCTTAAGAATGGGAACAATTCAGCCGACAAAGTTCATGACAACAAGGTGCAGGATAGTGCTGGCAAAGAGAAAATCAGCAAAGGCTCTCTCTGGAGATATGCCTTGGAAATCCGCCTTGTTCTGTGGGTTGATCTGTATTCTCAGGCACACTGTACAAGAAGTAAAACATAAAAATCACTGTCTAAATGTATAAAACAAGTACGGCTGCTAATGAACACACATATATCCTAGGACACAACAAATGTACCCTGAAATGACTGCATATGTGCAAGGAGTTTTCTGGTGTGCTAGTAATACTCTTATATCTTGATCTGGATAGTAGATCGGTGAATTTATCTTTTTATAAATTTTTATTTTTATTAGTACATGTTTGGAGTACATAAAGACTGCATTTATCATGAGGGGCTGGTACATGTACATAACATATCTTAATTTCTTTTTTCGACTGCTAACCCTACTCACCCTCCTTGCTCCTTCCATTTCTAGGCCTCCTTCCATTTGTATAAGCTTTAGCTCCATTTTTTTTCTCCCAATTCTTCTTTTTGGTACCGGGGATCGAACTTGGGCCTTTGCGCTTGCGCAGCAGGCAACGAAACCACTGAGCTAAATCCCCGGGCCTCCCAATTCTTTTTTTCACCCCCTTTCCCTCCCCTCTCCCTACCGCCCGCCTCCTTCCATCTCTAATTCCCCTTTCCACTGAAAAAGATCTCCCTACTACCTATTATCTATCCTATTTTGTTCTTTATTTATACTTTGGGTTTCTCTAAAAGAAACCATTAAATATTTAAGTTTGTCTAATTTATTTCACTTAATATTATCGTCTCAGGGTATATCAAACTCATCAAGCTGTAGGCTTAAGTTTTGCTTTTTTTTTTTTTTGGTACCAGAGATTGAATTCGGGTCCTTGCGCTTGCGCAGCAGGCAGCAGGCGGCGAAACCACTGAGCTAAATCCCCAGCCCACGTTTTGCATTCTTAAATGTCTGTTAAAGGAGAATTAAAGGAAAAAAACCTAACTTCTCAAGAGTTAGACTAAAAACCTGAGGCTTAAGAAGGAAAAAACTACATAAGCAGGGGCTGGGAATTTATTAGCTCAGTGGTTTCGCCAGGACCCGAGTTCAATCCTCGATACCAAAAAAAACAAAAACAAAAATACATAAACAAAAGAAAAAAGCCCAAAAAAACCCTAAAAACTCTCTTATCTCATGATTTAAATGTTTCTTTAAAACAAACCACCTCTGCCAACTTACTAGATGGAAGTGTAACTGACACAATAAGAAAAGAGCTGGGCTGAATGGCAAAAGTTATTAAAAAAATGAATTATTTTCTAATAGAATATATGCATAATGGACAGCAGAGAGTATAAATGTTCATCCCTGTGGACCTCATAGTTGTAGTTAAACTATCTTTCATATAAAGTTCTAGCAGGTGCTTGTCTCAAAAAAGGCAGGAGACCTAAGTTATATAACTTGACAGAACTCTCCACTGCCACATTTATATAACCTTGAAGAGTCTAACATGGCACATTCACAACAGTCATCAGTGACTTGAAAAGGAAGCTCCAGGAGCACACTTTTCCAAAATACAACAATGCCTGTGATAAATAACACTACTTAAGAAAACTCAAGTTTGCTTCAGGCTAACATCCATTCTATCACTAACAAAGAAAGGGCAATGAACTAAAATCAAAACCAAAGGTTAGAAATCTATCAGACTAGTTCTCCAGAGTCCATCACCATAGAAACAGTTCTCATTATGCTTAAACATATAAACACTGTGGGCACGCCACTGATCTCTTCAGGCATCCAGACCCTCCCAAACAAGGACACTGATTGCAGCAAGGGCAACCAATTAAAATCCTGCTGTGGGAAGTGCAGATCAGTTTCTCCATTTGGGAAAGGAACAAGAAATATCCATTAATATTTAAAATGTTTTTACCTTTTGACTAAGGAATGTTACGTTACAGAACATTCGAATAGCATGTTTGTTAAGTTGAAAAAAAATGATCAAAGGGATTAAATTATGCTCCAGACATGCAACAAAATCCCATGCAATTATTTTAGAAAATAAGGTAAATTCTTTATACACCAACGTAAAGCTACTCACTTTTACTAAATGAAAAAACCAAAACAGGCCCAGGTATTTAGCTCAGTGGTTCCGCCACCTGCCCCACAAGTGCAAGGACCCGAGTTCGATCCCCAGTACCAAAAAAAAAAAAAAAGCCAAAACAGTTACTCCATTCTATATCTTTTTAAAAATATTTTATTTATAATGATATATGTAATTCTTTGGTCATTTCTTTTAGCTGGAATCTTACTTTTAAAATACAGAGAAAGAGACACTAAGATGTTACTGATGGTTACTGGAATAGAAAGCAGGAGGTAAAGTAGCGTTTGTGGGACAAATTAGGGGACAGAAGAAAAAAAATCTTTGTGTAGGTAGATAAAGTCATGAATGGATGTTATCATCATGATCACAGTAACACAAGTTATCACAATGCCAACATAAGAATCAGAATCCCACAAGGACAAAAAAGACCTGGAGTGGGCCAGGGATTTAGCTCAGTGGCATCGTGCCTGCCTCCCAAGCACAAGGTCCTGAGTTCAATCCCTGGTACCAAAAAAAAAAAAAGACCTGGAGTGAGTGCATAAAGATCAGCACTCCACTGATGCATAAAATACTCAAAGCAGGAGGTGGAGAGGCCATAAGAATCACTGGGAAGATTTCCAAAGTATACTCACCCTTTACAGGATATAATAAGCCACCCCCAGGAGAATAAAGGTGTCGCATCCCTCAGATACACTGGGAACAAAAAAGATAAAGAACCTTGCCTCTTCAAAAAGCTTCTTCACAAAGAGTCTTGAGTGTCTCCCTGAGTGCATCCAAAGACAGAAATTTACTACCTGCAAACTGTTCCATTTTAGCAGTTCTAATTTAATCTATCTCTTTAAATGTTCATTCATTCCACAAAATATTTACTGAGCATCTACTACAAGTTATGCATCATTCCAGGTATGAGGAACAAGGCACAAAACAAAAAAGACAAGAGTCTGGCTTCTAAGAAACTTACATGTCTATGGAAAGAAACATGGCAAATGTTCTAAGTAAATAAATAAACAAGAAAATATCATGTAATGATATGCACAATGAGAATAATAAAACAGGATAATAAAGTGATGAGAAAGCTATTTTTTATTCAATGGTCATAGAAAACCTCTTTAAGAAGGTGCTACCTAAAACTAGTATTTCAAAGATCTGGGGACAGAGAATTCTAGACAGTAAGAACAGTCTTGACATGTTCTAGGTATAACAAGTCAGACTAACCAGACATTAGTAATCAGAGGAAGAAGACAAACCTGTGGGGCTTTGAAAGCCTCAGAAAAGTGTTTGAATGTAGTTCTAAGTGCAACAGGACAGTATTTCAAGAGTTGAGTAACTAAGAAATATAACTGACTTATATTTCGAAGGTTGCTAGAACTGCAGTGTAAAGAACAGTTTGCAGGGTTAAAGAAGAGAAATTACTTCAAAGCCATAGACTACAAGGGAATGGTAGTAAAAATGGACACAAGTGAGGAGATACAGGCTACATTTGGAAGAAGACAGAGCTTGCTGATAAAATGGATGTGAGAGACAAGAGAAAACAAGGGATAAGAGAAATCTCCTAAACATCTGGCTTCAACAACTCAATCAATGTTGGTATTGCCTACTTTCTTGTAAAGGGGCAGATAGTTGAGCAGAAAGGTTCCATGTAGGACATGTTAATTTGAAGGGATACAGCAGACGTCAAGAAGAGATACTAAAGCTGGCAAGTGGACTAAGCTAGAATTGAGAGAATGGGTTCAAACTAAAATTATAAATGTGGGCCAGGAATTTAGCTCAGTGGTTCCGCCACCTGCTGCACAATTGTAAATTCCTGAGTTCGATCCCCGGTACCAAAAAAAAAAAAAAGAGAGAATGGCCCAGGCTTATTGTGTCTTTCATATCATGTACAGGTACAAACACCCAATGATAAATGTAAACAAATTGTATACCTAAAATGTACCAATAAAAGAACTAATAAAAAAATAAAATAAAATTATAAATGTGGACACTGTAGGTATAGATTATTCAATGGGTTATAGGTATAAATTATTGAAATTCACCTATGTAAAGAAATATAAAGTGAAAGGATCTTGAACCATGCTTTCAGAGAAAAAAGCACCTAGCACAAACAGCAGGAAGGGAAAACCAATGAGAAGGAACAAGCAAAAAAGGTTTATAAAAGCTATTAAAAAAAAAAAAAAAAGCAAGCAGTGCATTTCACTTAGAAGGAAGCAACCGTGTTAAATGCTAAGCGTTGCTAAGCAGTCAGGTAAGTGAGGTAGATGACCATTAGATTTGGCAACATGACAAGAATAGTTTTGGGGAAGCGGGGGAGACAGACCACGACCAAAAGTAGGTTAAGGATGAATGGAAAGTGAGAAATTAGAAACGGTAACCAGATTATTCTTTCAAGAATTCCGTGATGCAGAAGAAATGGGAGTAGTGTCTGGAGTCAAATGAAATTTTTTAAAAATTGAACAATATTACAGCATGTTAAAATGATGAGAATGATCCAGTAGGGAAAAGAAACCAATGGTGCAGAAGTCCCTCAGTGAGCAAAACTGGATTCTCTCAGAAGTGGAGCTAGATGCTGACAAGGAAGAAACACATCCTCCACCACAGTGGGAATTCAGTCAGAAGTATGGCTACAGGTGGAGGTGAGCTGCTGTAATTCAGTGGAAGGTAAAAGGGATTCCTATCTACTTCTATTTTTTTTAGTGAAAAAATAAAACAAGATCATCAACTGAGAATACAGAAAAAGGAAATGGAGAAAAGCATGTGAAGTTATGAAGCATATTTTGAGAAAACAAACATATTAGGGAAGCATTACTGCACAATCACTGGGCAGGGTTGGGTATCCACCAAATTCCAACTCTTACCCAAAATCTCCATCAGCACTACATCCATCGTTATTTGCCTGTAGTTTCCCACTAGACTCTATTCTGTGACGGTAGGGACTATGTCTATGAGCTTCACCAGTTCAATCTCTAGCACCCTGGCAGAAAACCTGACACTTACTTGCTCAGTAATCCTATATGCATGCTCACACTTTAAGATACATAGTGCTAGGGACGGAGGCTGCAGAGATGAAAGCCCCTGCCCTCAAGGGCTCAGATTCCAGAGGGAAGACAGGCAGTGCAACAAATACTGTACAAATGTCCCACTTCTCTCCCTCAAACCCCTCCCCCCAACACTCACAGAGTGAAGCAGGGATACAGAAGACATGGATCTACTGGGAAAGTCGCGACAGGGTTCCAAAGGAAGAAATACTTGAGTTGAGAAGTCTAAGAAATGAAGGAATTTTGAAGACAGTCAAAGGTAAAACAAAGCTTGCAATTATGGAATGGTTCAGGGAATGGCAAAAGCTCAGTGATGCTAGAGCATAAAGTACAGAGGAGGCAGAGGCAAGAGAAAAAGATGGAGATATTGCTAAGGCCAGATCGTGAAAAAATCTGTGTGCCATGATAATCTGTTAACCTTATTTGCGAACCAGAGAGATGTTGGGAGTGACACAATCAGATTTGCAAGTGAAATCAAGCGTACAGGCCTGCAAACAAGTGCAAGATGGACTAGGAGAGAGACACCAGAGGCTGAAAGCCAGTGAGGAGGACTACAGAAGTCTAAATAAAGAGATACTGAGAGCCTGAGGCACTGAGGATGAAGAGGCAGCAATGCATACGAAGATATTTAGAAATAAGACAACCAAGTGCAAGATGGCGCACTTCCAGTCTCTTAGCAGCAATGGAGATGTTAGGACCCATAAATATGATAGAAAATTCCAAAAGAAATGCTGGACCCAGTCCATAGGACCCAGTAACTCCATTATGACAGAAAACACTCTGGGTTAAGTCTACTTGCCTTTCAAATTCAAATTCCCTTTGGATTTGTAAACTAATTACAAAAACTTTTAATTTTAAAAGCCAAAATTGCTTCATAGGTTAGAGAACAGAACAGACAGAAGTTATTTTTTTGGTACTGGGGATCGAACTCGGGACCTTGCACTTTTGAGGCAGGCAGCGGAACCACTGAGCTAAATCCCCGGGCAACAGACAGAAGTTATAAAATGACTTAACTAATTTCAAGAGCTGGAGACATAGCTCAACATACAGTGCTTGCCTACCATGTGTGTGGCCCTGGGTTTGATCCCCAGCACCACTAAAAAATAAAAACAAAAACAAAAAAACTAAACTGATTTCAAGACTTATTTTAAAGACAGTCTTGTTTCCATTTCTCTCTCCTAAATAGAACTTTAAATGAGCACAGATTTAAGTTAGGTAAAAAAGGGAACTAAAGAGCTGCCAACACTTGAATGTTACTCTCAAAAAGGGACAGCTGTCTTTCTATAATATTTAACCACAAGACACACAGTCAGCTGCTGAGGATGTCTGAAATTTGTCAGGAAGAATAAAAGTATTCTGTCTCTGAGGTCTTTTTAAACACTACTGTACTGTTGATCAAAAAAAAAAAAAAAGATACTGCGATGTGATATATATTCTCCATCCCTTGCTGGCAATTTTCTAGTTCCTTCCTGAAATCACGAGTCATCTTTCAGCCATGAAGTAAAAGAAAAAAACAGATCGTTTTCATACTATTGGGCTCAAATAACAGGCTTTTTAAAAATGTAGCAGTGTTCTAAATTGGTTTTAAATGTACTATTTTCAAAGAGCATATGCTAAATTAACACACACAGAGGGAAAATAAACTACCAAAAAGAAAGTAGGGAATCAGACTAAAGAACCCCTCCTCCCAATTCATCCTACATACTAACACCAATTTTAAGTCTTCTTTGTTCAAAAAAAGAAAAAAAATCTCAGATGCTCTCCTATAACCTATACACCAAATTCTTTGGCCTGATACCTGGAGCTCCAGCATCCAGCACCACCTAATCCTCCAACATAATCTCCTAAAATTCCTGTTCTCCAGCCAAACTGGCCTCTTTCATTCTCTTCCAACAAAATAACACCACCTGAAAAAGTTAGAAACCTCAGCACCAACACCAAGTACAAGATTTCCTCTCCCAACCATCAGAACAAAGGATAAGCATCCAAATTGCAAATTTCCCATTAAAATCAGTATCCAGATCTGGACTAGCAAGAGAGGTAGGATTTAATAAATTCAATGCTGTCAAAAGAAATACAGATGATAACTTTCTGAGCCAACAATGAATCATCATAAGTCCTTTTTTTCCTGAAGCCACTTTAACTTTATGTTATTTTATTTGTTTGGTCTTTTGATCTTTTATTACCAAAACAGCCTTCTTGTTTTATTTAGCTGACATTGTGTTTATGTCTTCAACACTTTCCCACTATTCTCTGCTCCTCAATAAGGAAGGCGTGCTTGGTCCTATCATGGACATGCTTAACACACAATCAGGACAGGCCCTGCTGACATGTTTCTTATGAAAACTGTATTGGAACTTTAGGTCTCACAGCAGGCACTCTCCATGTCTGCCTGGGCACAAAACACATGGAGATTTTGGTGCTTTCTCATCTTTCTTGGTATAAAGGCAAATAATTTCATTACCAGGGGCTTAGGACAAACTAGTTTTGTCAGAGGCTATATACTGTAGGAAAGTCTGCAACAGTATGTCAAACACTGGACCATTCTGAGTGCTTCCCCAAGGAGGAAAACACCTGAAGCCACTTTTATTTCTCTGGCCCTATAACCTGCTACCTAAGAGATCTGGAAATCTCAATCCCCTTTATCAATCTCACTACTAATATGTTTCATCACTAAACATTCTCTTTAATAACAAGCCATCTACTCCCTATTGGAAAGAACAAAGCCTGCCATCTTGGCATAACCAAGTTACCTGCTCAAAACGTCTGGCTTTTCCACATTAACCTATTAAGTAGTTCATGCCCATTCTGCAGCAAACCACTGTTTTTCATTTTGCCCTGAAGTTTGTTTTGTTTTGTTTTGTTTTCAGACAGGGTCCCGCTAAGTAGCAGTTCGGGCTAGCCTCAAACTCGCAGCAATCCTCCTGCCTCAGCCTCCCAGTGCTGCCACAACCAGCTCTTCCCTGAATTCATTCTTACCCTTAAGACTTATGAAGCTAGGGTGACTTCAGCATGGAGAGGCGTCGCCACTCATCCCCAGTAGTGGGGATTAAATTCAAGGTCTTCCTACTGAGCTACACCACTAGCCCATTTTTCTATTTTCAGACAGGATCTGGCTAAGTCCAAAAGTTGCTCAGGATGGGTTCGAAACTTTGACTCTTCCTGCCTCAGCTTCCCAGACTGCTGGGATTACAGGCCTGGGCCATACAATACAGTCTAAGGCTTCTTTTTTCTTTTTTTTGGTGCCGGGGATCAAACTCAGGTCCTTGAGCTCACCAGGTAGGCGGCAGAACCACTGAGCTAAATCCCCAGCACAGGCTTCTTTTTTTAAAATTAGTTTTCAGGCCCCAACCTGTTACTACTCTTCCATATCTGGAAACAAAAATCATTTTTAAAAAATTAATCAGTGGGGCCGGGGATTTAGCTCAGTGGTTTCACCGCCTGCTGCTCAAGCTCAAGGACTCCAGTTCAATCCCCAGTACCAAAAAAAAAAAAAAAAATTAATCAGTGGTTCTCATTAAAGTTATTCCTTCTGGTTGGCTACTAAAATTTTTAGTTATGAATAGTGCTAGGCATGTACAGCAGAAGTACAGTATATTCAATCTAGCTGATAATGAACATATCCTGAAGGCTAAGAAGTTTCCACAGGGAACCAGGTCTTAAGTGCTCTAGCACAAAACTCAAAGATCATAATTAAATATCCAATAAACAGACTAATTCAGCAACTCCAGAGCCAGCTAGGGCACAGGTCAACCAGCCCTTAGGCCTATTTTAAATTCTGAGAAGTAAAAGTATCTCTGGTGAGTCTGAACTAGCAATGTGAATATGGAAAATGCATTCTACCGATCTAACTTTAAGCATGGCAAACTCCAAATGAAGTCTCCAAAAAATTCTAACATTGCATTTTGTCTGTGCCCCCAGCCAGAATGTAAACTCTGTGGACAAGGAACATACAGCTAATGAAGCCCCAAAGCATTTACCATAATACCTTGTATTCAATTCAATACAACTGATGCCCTGATTAATAGCGACCACACAGAAAATTATTTCTTCACCGTATTAGGCAATGAACTCAGGATCTTTGCACTGAGCTACATCCCCAACTCTTTAATTTTGAAAGATCTCACTCAATTGTCCAGGCAGGACCAGAACTTGCATTCCTCCTGCCTCAGCCTCCCTCAGTGCTGCGAGTAAGGGTGCAGGACAGCACAGGGTGTACTTGTTATGTTTTCAAAGTGAAATAGCAATTGATTTCCCACAGATTGGCCACTTATAAAGCAGACTGGCTAACACTCCTGGGCTAATCTATTCACTTAATCTTGTTGGGCAAGAATGGTGAGATTTTGGCAAACATTTATAGAGAAAGTGCTCATTTAATAGAGTAGTTTACAAGGTTATCAAATGCTGAGAATTAGAAAAAGAGACACCCCCCCCAGTACCGCAAAAAAAAAAAATTAAAACCAATTCATGTGAGTAAAATTAGAACTCAAGATAATGGAATATGCTAAGATTAGCTTCACCCACAAGAAATAAGCAGAAGCAGCTAAAAATCAAAATCAAGTACTCGAACAGCAAAACATTTACATTTGTATTTCTCACGCTTTCATTAAAATATTTCACCAGAGGTTAGTAGTGCTCAGGCCGGTACGAAAGAGACGATTCAGGGTTAGCTTTTTATCATTTAAAAGTCTGCCAACTTTAAGGCTGTGTTAAAATTAAGTGGAACTTCAAGGGGTTTCTCTGGACCAATATGAAGTATCACCAGGTTGGGCAGTAACACGAAGGGGGGTTCTTTAGCTAAACTCCAACTCCTCGGCAGCTATTTGGTATGAGGCACATGACAACCTTTCTGAGCCTCAATTTTCCCTCATAATAAAAGTGTCATGCAGACATTCAGAGGGCGGCGGCTGTGATATAAAACAACGAAGAATACTGTGAGAGGAAAACTGAGCACCAAAGTAACGCATCAGTATTGGGACTACTTATAGAATTACCCGCTAGGATGAAGCTCCCCACACAAGAGATGAAGCCTGAGAGGAAAGAGTTAAAAGGGAAGGTCCCCACGAGGAGACAGTAACCGAACTGCAGCGCTCCGGTCAGCAATATATACAGAAGGTACGCGTCCAGCAACTTCAGCCGCTGCGGAGTGGTGCTCAAATATTCTTCTAAGAACCGCGAAATGACGGACACTACTGAGGCAGACATAGCTATAAAACGAATAGTCCGGGCCGCGTTCCTTCAACTCCTGGCGGATCCGACGTCCACAACGGATGTAGCTTTTGCGCAAGCGCACTAACACAGCCCAGCTCCGCCCTCCCCGGCGTGCCAATTTGAGCAGGGCTATGGCTATGTTAAGTCACATGACAAGTAATGCGCAGACGCAGACTGCATCCACAGAATGCGAACTACAGCCAGAGGTAGTTAATGAGTCTGCGCAATGGATCAATCAATGGACTGGAGACGTGTATCGTTTCTACCCCATTTCCGCCTTCTGCTCTGGCCTAGAGATACAGTATTGTGAGAGGAAGAAGGGGAGAGATTTAACGGCGGACCACTTAGCTCGTCAAATGGTTCCGGTTCTTTTTGGCCATCATACCTCGCTTAGAGGAAATGTTTGGCGCTCCTAGAGTTCACCTACAACTTGGCCCTAATTCTATGAAGGGCCCTGTCTGCAAATGCCTAATACAGATCATTAGAGCAAGCCAAGTTCCTAAGCACTAAGAACCGTGTAGGCTTATCACTGCGCCGGAACCAGTTTAGACTTGATTATGGGGGAAGGGACTGGAGGGAGGTTGACCTTCTAAAGGTGAACTGGAACCCAGAATCTGGCCCCGCGGTAGAACCTAAGCCCTCAGGTATTTATTCATTCATTCAGCAAACATTTATTGGGTGCGTCCTTGGTGCCCAACGTTGTGTTAAGTTGTAGAACTTTCAGGTGAATCAGATACAGTGGCTGCCCTAAAGGAAAGGGTGACTGTAGGGAGAACGGTCGCTTATCTTGCATAGAGTTAATGATCAAGATTAGCTCTCCGCCACGAAACTGGCGTCTTGTACCTGGTTTATTATACCAAGATGTCCGTGCTGAAAGGCCCGCAAGAGCTTGTCTGGTTCCGTCTCATTTTGAGATGCAGATTTGAGGCTTTTAATTTTTTAAAATTTTTATTAGTACATGTTTGCAGTACGTGATTACATTCATCGTGAGAAGGTGGTACATGTATATAACACACCTTGATAGGTTTGAGGTTTTATATTTTAACAAATGTGGTTAACTATTTTTAGCATTTTAACTTTTTTTAGAAAAGTCTGCCTTCTGCCTTCATTACCCTTGTAATTTCACATCAGTCTAATTTGAAACTCGTGCCTCTTGTCAACTGGAAGTCTTCCCTCACGTAACTACTTTCAATTCTAAATAACTTTTAAGTTATCATAGATACATGAACAAAATTCTAAAACAGTAAAAGACCAACAACACTCTGGCATTTTCACTTTTTAATTTGCGTTTAGTGGAAACTTAATCAGCATCAACAAATGTATTGATTTTCAGTAATAAGCAAAGTCTTGCTTAGGTTTTAGAAGGAAATGATCTGTGTCCTTAGTTTTACAGTCTATTTGAAGAGAGAGATTCGTATTCACACAAACCCCCGAGATTTGCTCTGCTATATGAATGTAAATGCAGCATAAGCCCTCTCATGTTGTTGAAAAGAAAAAAGTGGATAACCAGACTGATTGCCCTAGTCTACATAATATCGCAAGAATCATCAGTTTCTTCAACAGCTGAACCTTTCTCCCTGTCTCACCAGCAAGTGGGAGAGTAGTTTCCTCACTAGTATTCAACTTCAAATTCTACAGGCTCTGCTGATGCTTTTTAATCATTCAGGAGTGAATTCCTCAAGGTTTCTATTCCGTCAGTCAGGCTCCTCCAGCAGTTCTCCCCTTATGTTTTGCTGCCTTTGATCCTTGTCAACTATCATGATTTACAACACCACAGGAACTCCCACAGGAGGAGAGCAGAGGAGATGAAAAACATCAAATTGACTTATTGAATGCATCCCTTTCTGAGACCTGCAAAATCACACTAATATAATGAACTAAAACTTTTCTGGACTTCTTAAAATAAGAAAAGGTCTTGTTTTGTATTCAGTTTATGATTTAATTAACTGATCTATCAGTGGGGAGTTGCTAATGCTACTGTTGGTTTTAACTAGTATATTTCAGAACTTTAGTATATGTAAAACTTCATGTCCAGAGTAGTGGGTAAGAGTGCAAGCTCTACAGTCAGACAAACCTGTGTTATATTTGAACCTTGATTATACTGTTGATTAGTTGCCTAATCAAAACAGGTTGTTTAGTCTGACAATTTTATTTTCCTTTTCTATAAAGTGAAAATAATGATATCTGAATTATTGGAATGCTGTGAGGATTAAGTGAGATAGTCGATAAGCACTTTGCATGATGGTTGGCACACAGTAAATATTTAATAAATGTTTGGTTGTTAATCATTATGAGTTGTGATGACTACATCTCCTTCCTCCATTTCTTGGAACAATTAAAAGTTGACCAAACTACAGGGCCTCCAATATTTTAGGCATGAAAAAAGCACTAAAAGGACTGCAAATCAGATGGCTCTTCGAAGGCAAATCAGGTTATAAATTGAAACAGAAGTCAGAGTAGACTTGTCCCTGGAGGAATCCATGGAGATTCCCCCCTAAAGAGGAGATAGAGACCTCAACTCAGTCTTGGAAGTTCTTGACTCATCACAAAAAAATAATTTCACCATGCCTCAGTGTAAGGCATAATGCAGATTTATCAGGCAGAGTTAGAAAGTAGAGGGGCCAGGGATTTAGCTCAGTGGTGCTGTTGCCTGCCTAGAAAGTTCAAGGTCCCGAGTTTGAGCCCCAATGCCAAAAAAAGAAAGTAAAGGAGAATAGGAAAGAGACTCCAGCTTGAGTCTCCAGCGTGCAGGGGGCACACCCTGATGCAGGGGCTGAGGCTGGCCCACTCACAGAAGCACAAGATCAGCTTTTAGGGATTAGCGGGGTTACAAGGTCTGGTCTATCCATATCTCAGTTTGGGTGTCCATAGCTCTAGGGAATCCCTTGTGGCTTGAGGGTCAGTTTGGTTCCCCAGAGATTGCTGTAGCCAAGATGATTTTCCTTGTTCAGGAGGGGTGCTGCCTCAATATCTGTCCTGGGGTAATTGCTCTTGAGGGGAGGTGATCTTATCATGGGGTAGTCTGCAAGGGTCTGCTTTTTCTAGAACCCTTGAATTTTTGAAGACTTCTAGGCATTCCTCCAAGGTTTTTGGAACTGGTAAAACTGGCAATTGAGTACCCCTGCAAACCTTGAAAATTACTCTTATCTTGATACTGTCAGTCTTGAAGGGGGATGAGATTGACTAGGCAAATTTAGCAACAATAAATCTTGTAATATGCCCTCTGGATGATTAGCAGGCGAACATGCAGATCTGAACAGGAATCTGACCCACAGTTGTTTTTTTTTTCTTTTTTGTTTTTTTTTTCCCCACAGTTTTAAAGTAATAAGGGAGACCAAAAAATTGAGTTTCCTTGTCTTCTTTCTCTCTCTCTCTCTCTCTCTCTCTCTCTCTCTCTCTCTCTCTCTCTCTCTCTGCTTCTTCTATATCAAACCTTAGAGGTTTCATTACCTAAGCACTCAACATCATAAAACAGTGGAAAGGTAGGAGGGCTCCTCCCTTAAGAGCAAAGTCCACTATTTTAATCATATTTTCCCATAATGAGAAATTACATTATTTGCTAAAAGAAAAACAAATCGCCCAAAATTTGAGCAGAAAAGGGCTCTTTTAAAGAAAATCTCTGCCAGGGCTGGTGGCACACACCTGTAATCCCACCACTCAGGAGACTGAGCCAGGAGGATTGCTGTGAGTTCAAGGTCATTGAAAAATGGCAAGACCCTATCTCAAAAAACCAAAAAGAAAAAAACAAAATGTCTGGGCAGAAGAGTCACTTTTTCTAATTCTTTTCCTTTGTATTATTTTCACTTTTTCTTTAGGAGTTCTCTTTTTGCTTCTCTCTACTACTAGTGCATATAACAGTCCACCTTTTCAACATCAGTCTCGGTTTGACCAAAACTCTCTTCTGTTTGCTAATAGATAAAGCAGACTGTTATTTTCAAAAGGCAAATTTTAAGGGGAATCAGATTACAAACAGTAAAAAGTCAAATTCTGAAAGTATGAAGTTTCTGATAAAAGTCCCAGTCAAGCAGTGGATATGTTCGGTGAGCCCACATCCGTACATCCCTACATCCTTTCAGTCCCTGATGGAATGGAACAACTCATGTCACCTTTGCCTCATTTCCCTCCCTCATAGCTTTTATGGAGTCTCATAAAAGTCTCTTGCCCCCATCACCACCCAAAAGAAAATCTATCATTCTTGTCCTTTCCAAGGGCACTATTAATCCTTAGAAATAAGTGCTTAGTGATCATTAATAACAAAGTGCATTTTTGTGCTCCCTATAACAGGAAGTTGAAATCATCGGTGCCTGGGAAACACAGCCCTACCCAGTAGAATTTTCTGTGATGATGACAATGTCTCTGTGCTCTCTAGTATAATAGCAACTGAACACATGGGGCTGCTGAGCACTTGAAGTATAGCTAGAGTGACCAAGAACATTCTGATTATTTTAATTTAAAACTAAAGTAGCCACATATGGCTATCATTGGCCAAAGCAAATATACAGCTGTTTCACTTAGTACTATATTTGGTCTTAAGAATCATATCTGGTTCATAGTTCATTCAAAAAGCAATGACGTTCACTTGAAACCAAAGAACAGTCTTGGACTGGGCTATCAGTTTATCAGCTCCACCTGCTTTTGGAATGTTTAATAATAATGGACAGGGGCCAGGGATTTAGCTGTGGTTCTGCCCCCTGCCTCACAAGCACAAGGTCCCAAGTTCAATATCCAGTATCAAAAAAATAAATAATAATAATAACAGTCACAGGAAAAGAGTTTGCCAAATTAGTTTCCATCCACAATGGCTATAGTAATACTTTAATCACACATATTGAAGATAGGGTGTATGTTTTCATATTTGCCCATCATACATCTTGTCTTGAAGATAAGGAGAAAAAGTACCATATATGTTCTGCCCAGAAGCCTATCTAGGCAGTGAGAGTTCTTTTTACTGTGTATAATTCTAGCAGATCCAGTCAACACCTGAGTTATCCCTGGGTATACCTTAGGGGATCTATTAACTTTAGTTTCAAAAGGCAAATTCTGTATATTCAAGTTTCCTGCTTCCAAGCACACA